CGTCTCTCTCTATTCTCCCTTCGTCCCCAACCACACCTCCCCTCTCATCTGTTTTTTTTCTCCCCCACAACCTGAGCACCCCATCCCCACCCGCAACCCACCCCCACCCTCTCCCTGTATTTGACTCCCATGGATAAAACTATCTTACTGCTTACCAAGATAATAATATTTTGTGAGTTTGTGTTTTTTATTTTTGCGAATTTTTCTCTTTGTTTCAATTCCTAAAGTTTCTAAACTTTTCTGAAATAAAAATAAATGGTTTATTAAATTAAGGATTTAGAGTTTGGATTATTGATATGTTGGCAGGGAGAGCACTCTACGTGCTGTTTGTTTTTCGCTTAGGTACTTGGCAGGCAGTCATCAAATAGAATGAGAGGGTGGGGGCGGGTGGGGGCTGGGGCTGTGGGTGAGGTGAGGATCGGGTGGTCAAGTCGCAGGTGAGATAAAAACAGAGGGATGGGGGAGGAGAGGAAGAGAAATACTTTTTTTTTTCCCTTGAAAATAGAAAAACTAAAATACTCTTAATAATGGATGAAAAATTGGATGGTATTAATTCAAATGACAAATTATATATTTTGAAAAATTCAGGTGACATTTCTCTTAAATTTTTCTTTAAGATGACAAAGTGAAACTGAGGTATAAGTTCAGGTGACATTTCTATAAAAATCCATTTGGAATACTACAGGCTCGATGAACTATTGTTCGGGGCCCTGCACATATGTGGTGCAAGGATAACCTCCACTCAATCATGATGACGTGTATAATTTTGCACAACATGATTGTGGAGGATGAGTACGAATATGTTGAAGAGAAATATGATGATGAGGATATGTGTCCACAACTATCCAGGAGGGCCAGAGCAAGACAATATGAGCTGGAGCCAAGCATTACATACGAGTACCACCACGATAGGTAGACTCTCTCTAATTACATGATTCGTCATAATAGAGTTAGATCTCCACATGTGCATTAGAGTCTCCGACATGATTTGATCGATCACCTTTAGAGGAGTTTTGAAGATGGTGAATGAGGTCGACAATTGTTTCAATCCTCATTTTGTGTTTCAATTATCTTGTGTGTTTATTTTATGTTGTGTGTTTTCTTTTGGAATAAAATTATATTTGTGGAATTTCAATTTTTTTTAAGGTCAGATTGTTCAAAAAATTAAATTAGGAAGTTATTTAAAAAGATTAAATGAAGAAAAGTTTTCCACAAAAAAAATATATTAGACTTAAACCATCCTTAAACAATTTAATAAAGTTGCGGACTTAAAATTTGAGTCCGGAGGGTTGGGAGAAAAAACAGTTTGAATCCGGGCAAAACCCAAATAGTTACTTTTTAGACTTAAACCATCCTTAAACAATTTAATAAAGTTGCGGACTTAAAATTTGAGTCCGGAAGGTTGGGAGAAAAAACGTTTTGAGTCCAGGTGTTGAGGCCCAAAAAATCCAAGGCTAGACCCAAATATATTCCGAGCGCAGTACGATACCTTACTAAGAAGAAACCCGATTTGGGCACGCGAAAGTTCGTCATCTACGCTCGCATGAATCAAATCCACATGCCATGCCAAATAAATATGTAATCCGCCACACTATAGTCTATAAAATGCACTGCCTCTACAAGCCCATGCTAATTATCCTGTCAAGTATCATATACCTTTTAAAGGTGACAAAATTCAAGCACGCCAAGCGACATGCAATGCCAAGCGAAAATCATTATTATTACACCTAGCCACGCTACAAGCTTAAGTGAGCCCAAGCCACGCAAATGCCTAGGGCTTGCTGAGCGGATTGTGGTATGGATGGTTATGAGCATTCATGAGACCCATTGATGAGCCAATAAGTGGAAGTTTTGGGCTACTTGGGAGCACCAAAACTCAAGCCCATTTCTTGATCCCAAACATATGGGTAAGCAAAAGAGATAGAAAAATGACCCAACGCCTTAGGAGAATGTCCAATAGCCTGCGTTACTTAGGAAAATCCCGCACCAGCTAAAACACCTAGCGCCTTGTCAAAAAATGAAGCAAACAAGCTACTTCCAGCAACTTGACGAAACTATGAAGCCTTAGCTGGCGATTGGAAATAAAATGCCAATGACCCAATATCTGAGAAAAAGCTCAGCCCAGTACCTTATAAAATATCTAGCATTGTCAAAAGCCTAAGAACCAAGTCAAATAGCAAGCCACTGCAAAAACCAACGGAGATTCATAGGAATACCCATTAGACTAACGCATTTACCCCTATTTCTTTCTTCTGCAAGCTTTAATAGGAAAACCAGAGTAAAAAGAGGGTGGCACCTCACCCACATAAAGAAATCCAGCTGTGTGAAGATCTTGGAACCCCAAAAAGGCTTCATGCCTAGGTGCGCAGGCTAGGAAAGTTTCATCAAATGGGGTTGAAATGGAAGAAAGTGAAGGGAAAGGGAGAGAGAGGCCTGATAAAATTGAGGGTTCCAGCACCTATAAAAGGAGGCATCTTCTACCCAGCAAAGGGACGATCATCCAGAGCGCGACCAAGCTTTGTCAAGCGGCTAGGAATTTACTCAAGACACCCCATTCTCTATTTCCATATCTCCCTCTCTTCCTTAGTCAAGATCCCTTCAAGTCTCTCTCCCCCTTGCCCTGAACATTCGTTTCCATAAGAAATTCAAGCTTTTGTCTCTCTCTCAAATTGCTAAACTTGTGAAGGCTTAGCTCCCATGCCACAAGCTCCTTAAGTTTAGCCATTCCATTGCTAATCTGTCACGTTTATTTGGTTGATCGGTGAAAGAATCCAAGGTGTTTTCTAAGGTTGTCACTAATCCTTTCAAAACTCTCTTGGAGCTCGGTCTTCGCACTCAGAAACAGGGGCAATCTTCTCCGCTCATCCTTTACAGCAGCTCAAGCCCATTCATCTGGTTATTGGAAGGAAAAAGACCGCAACACCAGGCAAAACCCAAATAGTTACTTTTTTTAGGGGAAAAATTTGGGTTTAGCCCCAAATGAGTTGGAGAAGGCCTAACAAAACCCAAAACACTCAATAGGGTATCAAAGTGATTTAATAATTAAATTTAAATTCAATAAGGTCAGCTGTCATCTTTGGGGCTTTTTTTTGGTTTATTTATAAAAATTAAATGATATAAGGTTTATCGATATCACTAGTGCTAAGAATGGGTATATAACTAAATATCTATATTTTTATTGAAAGAACATTACATGAAACGGAAAATAAACTGAGCAACTTATTAACAAAATAAGAAATAAGAAAGTAGTAAAATTAGCTTAATTAACACTCTTGTGAATGCGCGTCCAAAATTAAATAATAAAAAAATCATTCTTTCATCCGTCCTCAATATTTTATATTTTATCCTCGAATATATGTTTGGTCACTTTTTTTTTTTTTTTTGGTCAAGGTAATTCATTCCATAAATATGAAAGAGATTACACAGTCAGAAAATTAAAAATAAAAACCAACCCAACACTGATAGGTACAAGGCCTCAGCCCAACATAAATAAAAACCCTAAAGCAAACATCTAGCCCAAAACCAAAAACAAAGGAAGAACCCTAGATCTGAGAAGCTACTG